TGCGCGCTCGAAGTAAACTGAGTCTAACTACTTTACAGTCTGACTCAACTTTATTGTTCAAATTCCACCGTCACCGAATGAACATGTATAGTGTCGTTGTAAGCTTCTCAGAACAACAAGATTTCGAATTTGTTGACAAAGGAACAAAATCAACCAAACTGAAAAATAAAACTTTTCCTTGTCCTCTTTCACCACAGGAAGTGGTGCAGTGGATTTTGACGAATTCTGTGTCCTAATGCAGAAGAAAATTGCACAGGAAACCCAGTCCGAGCTCCTGGAGTTGTTCAGTATCTGGGATGAAGCTGGTAAAGGGATCATTGAGTCAGGGGAATTGAGAGGCTTACTGAATAGAGTCCCCGTGCGGCTGACGAGGAGAGAGATTGATGCACTGGTTGATTATGCAGACACCAAGAAAAATGGGAAAATCAACTTTGAAGGTACGAGTCACTCTTTACGTAAGTTTACAAAGAAATCAAAAACAACAATTGTTTTTCAATATGTTTCCTCTGTGAGTCACAACATAACCAGCTGTCCATGCTCGGCTAGGTTATTTTTGGCAAAGGATCGATGTTAACCCTTTAACTCCCATAGTGACCAACACAGAATTTCGCCCGACAATATCAATACAATATCAAGTAGACAGGTGATAAGAATAAAGGAAAGTAACAATTAGAGGATTACAAGTTGATCAAATACCAAATTCCCTGAACTAACATCATAGGAATTTTAAGGCCGACAGTAAGGAGAATTACTAAATAACTGATTTTCGGAGTTATAAGGAAAACTTGCATGTAAACATTATAAACCTCTTCATGTTTGCTTCCTTGAAACCTCCTCGCCATCTCTTCGTAGCAAACAATTCGAAAATTTTCGTCTTCGCTTCTCTCATTACAATCGCATGCAAGTTAAATATTGAATCTAATCATTCAAACCTCTTTTTTTCCTTTAAACTTCACTGAGTTTGATGTACACTGAATATTATATCATGAAATCTCTTTCCAGCGATAATCAAAGTTTATTTGCTGTCATTTATTCATTTCAGAATTTGTCAAAATGCTGTCTTAAAGAAAAGAGCCTCCTTTTTGACCGTTTCAAGAAATTCTCTGACACTTGAGAGTTGAAGTAAAGAATTGAAAAACTAATAAACAAATCATTATGCGTCTTGAGTGGGTGATGTCTTTAAATCGATTACTTTTTTTCTGTGTCAAGTGCTTTTGCTTTTCTTCAGCAGAATAGTTTAACTGTTTTTAAATACGCAACCATTTCAATCGAGATTTCGAGGTTGGACTGTATATTGAAGTTCTTCCTTTTAAAATGTATTTCTTTGATTAGGATAGTGAACGATACTGATTGAGATCAAATGAAGTGTTGACGTTTAGTATTATCGTAATTATTCGATTTAGCGCCCTCGTTCCAATAAGCTCTACACTTTAATAAGAGTCCCGCCCTCGAAGTTTTTTGTCAGTAGGCGCCCCTATTCTAATAAGCGCCCATTGCATAAATACCCTCCTTCCAAAGAGAGCCTCAATTCCAATTAGCACACCTATTTTATTTCAGTGATGGCAATGTTAGAGTACTTGTTCATTGAGATCAACCGTGTTCATCTTCCCCTAATTGCTCACTTGAAACCTAATTACAAAAACAGTGGTCTTCGTTTCAGTCTCAACTTTTATGACTAATGATTTTCAAAATTTCCCACCATGTTAAGTGAATATGTTACTTTTAAAATCTACTTTTACTTTTACTTTTAAATCGAGCCACAACGGTATTATATATGTTTTCAAACCCACGGGAATAAAAGGCCTCGACTTCATACAATCAGCCCAGTTTCCTTCGTTCGCATCCCAATATATCGAGCGAGGTCTACATGGACTTCCTACTTTGTGCAAGCGATATGGGCTATCACGGCCTCCTTTAGCCGATGTGAATTTGACTTTATCTGTCCTTTCTTTTCATTTGCAGTAGAATGTTAAATTTAATAAAACGGACATTGATCTATGATGGACCTTCACGGAGATCACGAGAGAACCACCTGAGTAAAACAGCTCCTTAAGCAACTCTTGCTTCTTGAAAGTAAACATAGTAAACAGAGGCTTGGCAGAGTAGTGAGCGATCAGTGCTAAATCAAACAAAAGTATTCCAGAACATGAAGTGAAGAGACCATTGTTTCGGCTTTGAATGCGGTTATTTATTTTTACGATTTCGTCGGCTTCAAAAGTTCACAAGAAACCTCCGATTGTAATATCTATCTGAGTCTGCGATGGAACCAAACCATGCTTCTCGGGATTTACACAATTATTCGCAAACATTTTAGAAAGCTAAGATACATAAGACAGCAGCTCACTGAGGAAATCGGGAGAATCGGAAGAAAGTTACTGGCCTTCTACATTACCTTACACTTTCGCTCTTCGACTTACCCCTTTTCCGTTTAGTTCTAACACTATATGCGCACGCTCAGCGAAAACCGGTTGCGCAGCTGGTCCAGGAAAAGTGTTAATGAATGCATATCAGTGGCCACACGCATTTCAAAAGTCTATCGATAGAATCAAAAAAACCTTCGGTGCTGCGTCGTTGGTGGTATTACTAGATAATTTGGTTCTGTCAACTAAATTGATAACGTAAAATTGACCCCCACAGAGAGTTTGTAAAGCTGAGGTTTGGAGAGTTAGCTCTACGTTGTTCTTTCTGATTGAGGAGGCGAGCGTAGCCTAGTGGTTAGGGCGCTGCACTTGTAAGCCAGAGGTCCCGGGTTCAAGTCCTCCTCCCTGCCACTGGATGGATTTGTCTTCGGTGGCCCCGAATTCAACTCCTGCACGCTTTGTAAATAGCCAACTGGTCTGCCTCCTACCAGTTGGGGTTTTTAACGAGTTTCTGTTCATTTACGATATTCTTTTCCTTATTTACAGTGTCCCCAATTAGCACAGCAGTGCTAAAATACACTGACACTTAAATAGTTATTATTATTATTATTTATTAAGGGCTAACGCTCAAAACGTCATTGAAAATAAACAAGAAAGAAACAACCATGTCAACAACTGAATCATCCTCTTGGGATTTACACACATGCTTCCGACCGAAGCTAATAGCGCTCTAACAATAACAAAACGAAGCTCAAACTATTAAGACCAGTGATGGAAGAGAAACCTCAATTGGAAAAATCTTCCAGTACTTATATTGTGATGACAAACTTTAAAGTCAAACCTCTTAATTCATTAAGGTCCTGTGAATGTTTGAAACACAGATCATTATGGCGGTCTTTTTAATGTTTCTTTTATGCCCCAGCTAAAGAGCCACATTGTAATTGTAAAGAACTACAATGTAATATATCAAAGCAAACATGAAAAAAAGAGTTGGACATAAGTTATGCTTAAAAATATTTTGACGAAATTCCTGAAACTTGGGAATGTGATTAAACGCTTTTACAAATATATGCGTCCTTTAACCCTTTACACCCAAACATCAGTATGTATATTCTCCTTACTGTTCTCTAAACATTTTCTATGATACTGACAAGGAGAATTTGTTCAACAATCACTAGCTTCCTAAGTTGATGGTCATTTCCTCACTTCTCATGATACCGTAAGGAGAAATAAGGCATCAGAAGAGAGGGAAGGAACGATTTGGATCTCCCTCAAAAGATTAAGATAGCGAGTCGTTTTGAAAAACTACGCATTAGGGAGGGATAATTTGGAGGTCGTTGTTTTGCGTTTTGCTGCAGTATTATATTTAGGTCAGACTAAGTAAAGTCCCAGGCGGGAGGTGAAAGTCTCGCGCGCAGCCAGTTAGCGCTTTGCGCACATTTTACGGTTAATGAGCTTTGATTTCTTTTTTTCCTCCATATAAATTTTCGTATCGCAGCCCAAGTTACGGACCAGCTTGATATTAAGGCTTAAAACTTATCATGGTAGATGGAAGTGTTGCAAAGAATCTATATATATTTGTAGGTCCTCAACATCATCAAATATGGACATCCTAATCAATTTGCGCTGAAAGTAAACATTACAATATTATAGGATTACTTTATGCTCGCGAGGGAAACAATTTTTTTTCCTGCCTCTTTACACAGAAAGCGCTCTTCTTTTAGCTACAGGCTGCTCCACAGTGTTCCGAAGAACTAGCTAGCGGAGAGCAAGCGACTTATTAAAATTGTCGGGAATCGCCAAGAAGTTCAGATAAAAAATATCACGCCACAACCACACCACTGGCCTCAGCCACGTTCTGATCACGTGTAAAACGTGGACATTGATCACATTTAAGATATGTGTCCCACTCAGGAATGAATTTTGACATCGTGTCACAGTTATATGCTGGGTGCCAGGTCTGCTCGATATACGTTTTTCATTGGTTCTTTTTCTTTTTCAGATTACACTAAGAAATTACGCGCAAACTCTGCTGTACCACGTGATTCTTGTTCCAGTCTTACCCTTTACACCCTTACATCAGTGTGCATATTCTCTATACCGATCTCAATACATTCCCAAAGGTGCTAGCAAGGAGAATTTTTTTAAAATCGATAGCATCTTGAGCAACTGATCAGTTCTCTTATTCTCGTGACCTTAATGTGTTAATCAAGGCTGAAACTGTAAGGAGAATTAGATGATTGTTACTCTTAACTCTTAGGGTCAAAGAGTTCTCAATACTGAGCCAGTTTCAGTAGCGAAATGACCTGATGGGAAAAGAATTACGTGAAAAAAGCACTACCTTCGATTTGTGAAGATTTTTAAAAATGTGAGACATGACAGCCTGTCAATTCAAACCAGCGTCACCGATGTCTTTCCTTGATTACCTCGCGGTCTTGTTGACGTGCATCACTGGATTAGTTCTGTTTGGTGCGTTTTATTTCCTAGAATTGGGCTTGAATCCTTTTCAACCGGAGCAAATAAGCCTCGCTTGTACAGGTATGGTAAAGAGAGCTAATATTCATCTTGTAAAGTGAACTGGGAAAAAATTCAGTTACTTCCCTCTGATAATTAAGGGGCCGCTCGACGAAATTTTGTCCAGCATATCGCATCTTCAGGATTGCAATGTTACCAGCCACAAAAATTTATAGAAAACTGATTTAAATAAACCAACTTGCGATCTATCATAATATGGATCGCTTTCTCCGCTGAAAAGTGTTCATCCGATATTTTGATATCAGAAACAATGCGAGTTCCGTTTATTACAGTGGAAAATGTCTCTAAACGCTAGGAGATCAGTTTTGGAATTTAGGCCAAAATAATTGAAATTATGTCTTGCTATTGAATGGAAATGTGGAGTTATTTTTCATGATGTTACAATAAAATTTTATTGCTGATTCTACATGCAGCTGATATTGTATTGTTATTGCGCGCCTCGTTGTTGTGACGCGAGTCGCGCTCGAACGTTTCGTTAGTGTGACGCGAGTCACGCTCGAACATTTTTTCTTTTGTTAATGTTTAGTAATCGTAATTCGTATAACTAATTTTGGAATGTAATCGCACCAGGAAAATTAAAAAATTAAGCAGCAGGTAAATACCTCAAATTTTTCTCATAAGAGTTGTGCGATGTAAGTCAACGCTATTCGTTTTTTCACGTCTTTGGTTCGAGTATTTGTGTTTATTTGGTCCTTGATTTTTCACTGTTAGTCTTCCCACCACGTGCCATGTGATCTAAAACGATGTTCAATGACCCAGATTCAGACTAAATGTGCTAGCGTGGTACACGGTTTCAACACAGGTGGCCCAAGCTCAGGTCTCGAGAAAAAGCAAACGATTAATTCATAAAAGCGTCACGTGTTGTGTGATTTCTTTGATAAGTTACAAGAGGAACTGTTGAGAATTTTAACACGTTATAAGGAATAGTATGGGGAACGAAATATGGTCGATTTACAACGATAAATATTTTAAAATATTAACATTCTACATGTAAAATCAATGAAATTTACTCACATCTGGTGTGTCCGTCGCAGTTTCCTGTGATTTCTACCGTTTAAAGTTTGTTTTACCATCACTGTTATTCCTGTTGTAAGACGAAGACAAGGCTGTACACTCCGATTTCGACCGCTATCCACGCGAAGGTGGCTTGCGCCCCGAAAATCGTTCCGATCGGCATTTTTCTCAGCCATAGTTTACGATCTGAGATCATTGAACCCTGGGACATGTCTCAATACTAAAACTTCCCGCGCATTTCGCTGAAAACGAGCGTT